CTCTACAGGTTGTACCCCATGCATCAGGTTCTGCTACTCTGCCGCTGCCTAAGCTCAGTCAAATGCACGATATTTCTTTTTTCGGCGAAGTTCATTCAGATTCATCTGCGAAGCGCTGTTTTAGATGATATCGCAAGGATATCGAGCCTTACTTCGGACTATATTGCAGTTGATAGAGTCGCAATCTGGAGAGATGTGGTCAGAAGGCGTGAAATGTACTCACCATTTCAACGTTTTCTACCACTGGCTGTTTTCCACCTGAACTGACCACTGTTGGTAGAAAATGCAGCCACGATTGGGCTCATTTCACGCGTCTGACATCGCATCCAGATTGCGAGGACATCAACTATAGATCGCCATTCAACAATTTCTGTTAGTTAAGTGATTTCCGCGAGCCACGTTTATACCTTTTTAAGAACGAATTCGCTCCTGTTTCACATCGACTCCCACTCTCCCGGTGTCGGAAGTCTTCTAAAGACCACTTGCAGTGTCAACGAGGTCTGCCTTCTCTGATCAGGTGCCAGAGGTGAGTGATAAACATTAGCTAGTGTCATTATCTTGTCTGAAATCAGAACATGTTCCAGATAGGAACTGCGTATCCCGGAAGGACTTTGGAGATCATAATAAGAACTACACGTCCTCCTGTGATCTATTTCCATCAGGGCAAGTTGACGAGCTACTCCGTCCTTATGAAACTGTGCAACAGTTCTCGGATTCTACTTCACACTAACTAAGGCCGCGTTTCTCGTTCCGTGCGCGGCAGTGTCCACTAGCGTTTCGAGCGTCGGCAGCGTCAGCGACTGGGAAAGTATAGATATCGATCTAGCGTCTGCCAGCGTCTACCAGCGTCTACCAGCGTCTTCCAACGCCCGGGTAGGAGAGTACGGGGAGATAGGAGAGTAGCAGGCTGCTGGTGGGGTATGGGAAGATAGGAGAGTAGCGGACTTGGTAAAGAATATGGCGCGATAGGAGTGCAGCAGATAGGTTTTAGATATGCAGAGGTAGGAGGGTGGCAGACTGCTGGGAAAGAGTATGCTGTCATAGGAAGGTACCGGCTGTCTGCTACCCTCTATAGCGCCATACTCTCCTCACCTGGACGCTGGGAGACGCTGGTGCACGGTAGTTGACGCTAGATCGGCATCTATACTTTCCCGTCGCTAACGCTGCCGAACGCTCAGAGCGCTGGTGGACGCTACCACAAAAGTATGAACGCAGCTCAACAGCTTATTCAAACGCTTTCATGTTTCTGTTCCAGATGAGTTGAGGATGAATTTTGATGGGCGATGCCTATTCTTCTTGGAAGGTACGAGACAGAAAGTTGGCGTAATTCCCTTCTCATCAGAAGCTCCATCCAACTACAAACTGAAGGATCAATAATGAGAGGTTGTCTTTTATATTTCACGACCAGCTAGTTTCCGGCCCGAATTATTGAAGGGGTGATTTTCGTACTCATTCGAGTTCTGATTCAAAACTTTGTCTCGTTCTCCCTCCTTTAACAGGGCTGAGTAGTTGTGAGTAAGACTGACATGGGTCAATGAAGATGATAAACAGGTAAATAATGTGTTTTAAATAATTTAGGGAGGCTCACCATCACAAAGTTGAATTTCGACAGAGGCGTTGAATTCTTTGGCTTGAGTGATGACGATCTAGGCGGCTTGCGAAAGACAACTAAAACCGCCATAGAAAATATGACAAACGCCGTCTTGACTGCCGGAATCCATCTACAGGCTCCGAGTTTAGAGTGAGTAGTTCTATCAGCTCCATGAGATATTCTTTGAGGTGTAAGTAACTCGCTCTCGGCCAGAGGCGAATAGGGTGATGGGTTAATAAGTGAGTTATAATGAGTGGAGTGGTGTTGGTGACGAGTGGCGCGCTCACGCTCGCGCATGTCTGGGTTCAAATCCTGCCTGGTCTCACACTCCCGCCTTCGGGCTACAGCTTTCTAACCTTCGAGTTTTTCATGTTCTATATGTTATACCCCTCCCGCTCTCAACAGGCGTCGATCAGTATCAGAGTAAAAACCGACGCGGGGGTCAGGGGTGGTCGGTGTTTTCCAAAGACGTTCGCTCAGCGGCAAGGTGTGCCTGGAAAAATCAACAAACGTAGAGGAACCAAGAAGGTGAGGGGGATTGCATCAAGCCACTTCCTACGGGGAGATCTAATTGATCCAACCAAAATCCCCAGTCCGTGATGTGCCCTGATGAGTGGGCAGATTTCTGGCGCTCAGTAATACAATTCAGATCAAGACTGTGATATGAAATTTTCTAGCCAAACTGGTCAATATCTTAGAACAACGTGTTTCATGTCGAGTAAGTCGTTATTTTAGCCAAGCCCTTCGACTCTCCGCTACTCATGTTTCTATTGCACCTGGGCTTCTTCTTCTGCAAGCCAACGTGGACCTCTACAGTTCGTTCTACAATCGCAACTAATTAATCATTCAATTTGAGCTAGTCGCTTCTGAAACCAGGAAAAGGCATTTATCAGATACTTCTCCAGTTCTTTAACCTTCTACTATTATAACTTTAACACCAGAACTATACTAAGCGACAATGCGGGCGTTTAAAACTAGTACAGTTCAGTTATTGTCTCCTTCGGGTTCACGCCTTCGTTTAAATATAATGAGAGGACTTTTCAGAAGACCTCGCTCAGTACATAGATTCTCAGGTCCTTTGATTGTTTCCCTTCTGTGAAGTTGTAAATGTGCAGTCAGACCTTGCTTGCATTTTGGCTATGTACAGTAGGCCTTGAGTAAGTGTGCTTCAAGTGATGTACATCGGGTTGTTCATTGCTAATCTCTGCTGTATCATACTTACTAGTGATCAGGGCAAACTCTTAACAAAACTTTGTTGCGTTGTGTAGTTTTCAAATTGGTAGAGTATTGAAGCAAGTTATCATTTGACAACTGATAAAACTTTGCTCTCTTGATTGTTTTCTGCTCATATATCAGCTACCAGTCGGATCGCCCAACTACCCCTTGGCGCTCACCATCCTTGTGTGCCAGACCGGCCCATCGAATGAGTGTATGTCGAATGATCATATCGTAATTAGGAAAAGAAATGCAAAAAGAAAACTTGTAAATATCTTTATATCTCTTTATATCACTCATTGCGCAGAAACTCCTTGTTACTAACGCCTGTCTTCCAACTGTGATCTTCTCGTAAAGTTGCAATG